CTAACTACATAACTATCTTAGTATTCAAATCATATATAATACTCATATAATCTGATTAATACTATTTCTTATAATACATATTCTATTAAATCTCTATTCCACAAATATGAACTCTATATAGCCTTTAAAAAACAACTTTGCACTAAACAAATATTCTACTTAGACTAGTTTATAACTATAAATAACAAATTTCTTCTTAAATAGGAACATATCTCACTATATATAAGATTTCTACTAATATACAAAAAACCTAAATTGTTTAAATTTATTAAAAATACTATATTTATTCAAACTCTAAATCTATTAATGAATTTATACTTTAAATTTAAACAATTACTTTAGCTATATAACAGTATACTTTAACAAAAAATATAAACTATAGTTAATAAGGTTTGGTGATCTTAGTGTAGTGGTTAGGTTGCCAGACTGCCATATAAGAGGTCTGGAGTTCAAATCCCACTGTCAACGAATTTGAATAATTATCTAGACCTTTGTATCCAACTTATAGTAAACCCTGTTCGTTTCTGGAGTTGTAACCCTGTAAATCATATTGCACCAATATCATCTAGATATTGGAAGTGTGACGGGCATTTGGCGAGACATAACATTATATGAATAAATCTTGATAGGATCTACGGGCAAGGAACCTGCATAGTAGAAATCCTGAGTAGGTGAAGTAGTATAGCTTTCAATGGTCACATGGCTAACACTTGATCCAGAAAGAAAACTATGATCAAAAGATGCAGATTGAGTTGGGTACGCATAAATTCATTCCACAGGAAGAATTGGTAATACTAACTTGGCTTGGTGGCTAACTGAATTGGGAGGATCTGCTTCGTAAAATATCCAAGAAAATAGAATACAGAAAACTGGTAGAGAGCTACAGTAGGAATTAGCATTGTACGAATATCTACAAGGATCTAATCTAGGTGATTCCATAAAATAGGTACAGGCTACTCTAGTGGGTCTGCTTCGAGGTTAAATGGCTCTGCAATACTAGCAATGCATCTGATATAGTGTATCTCGAGAGGACCTAAGCTGATTTGAGTAAATGGATCCATAACAAGCTAGCTGGCTTAAGCGGTTAGGTGTTGCAGTGATGTTAGGTTTGGATCTGTATGAGTTAATGAACAGAGTATTTAAAATAGGTAACTCACAGGCAGGTTACAGGTATAGCAGCATAGTGTAGAACTAATCAGGTAGTCTAATCACCTGTGTAGCAGACTACTTAAATTAGACAATGACTAAAGTTGTACATGTAGCTTGTTGTATACTCTTTATGTAATTATAAACAGTAGGGATTATCAATGTATAATCCCATATGCAAATACTAATAAAATCCCGTTGGCAATATAAGCTGCCTTAAACGTAAAAAAAAAAAAAAAAAAACTATAGTTAATTACTAATACAAAAATCTCTATTATAATAGATGAAGAAAAACAATCTTTCAAGGACTCAAATACAATTTCAATAATACTGCTATATACTATTTACAAATCTTAATAGAATACAAGCTATGTATAAGATACAATCTTAACTCTAACTGAATTCAAAACACTATATCTTCAATATATCTGCAACTCTATCAACTAAATTCTAGAGTAAAAAACTTATAGGCAGAATACTAATAACAATAAAACTAAATGCTAACTACTTAAACCTTATCTATACAATAGCTAACAGAAATCTAATATATATTCTACTACTATCTTCTATACTAATAAATAATTCTTTAGTACTTGAGATATTTTAAAACAATAATATCTTTCAAAAACTAAACTAAATTACTATCTCAAACTTAGACTTTACTGAAATTATATTCTATATAGATAGCTTAGTTTGCAACTTCATAATTAATTAATTCTCTATGAGTATTAGCTGAATACAAATAACTAATGAATCAATTATTTACTCCTTTACAATATAAATAAACTACTAGCTAAATTTATACAAAGCAAAACTCCTAGCTATACTATTAGCAATTAGTATAATACTATATAACTACAAAATTAATATATTTATTAACTTCTAATTAGTCTTTAGCAAATACTAAAAACTAATTCAAAAATCTATTAACTTATTATATATTCTTTCTTTTAATAACTAGCCTATTTAGCATATACTACTAAATATTATTAAATTATTTAACTTTATGCTTAACTTATACAAAGTTCAAGTATATGAAAATAATATTTTTAACAACAAAACTAATTCTCTAGCACAAAACTATAAACATTTCTAACACCTTATACTTAACAACTTTAACAACTATAACCTATACTATTATATTAAGTGACAAACCTTTTTAGTTAAACAACTAATATGTAGATTTGTTAAAAATATATGCAATATATATATTATTATAATATAAATAGAAACTAATTTTAGAATTTAGTAGCTAACCAAATTAACTAGAACTCAACATAGCTATATATTAATAATAATAACAAAAAATTATATAACTTTACTAACTTTATACTAAGTAAACTTAAAATATTTAGAGTTAAACTCTTTTACAATGAACTTCTAACTTCAACTCATCTCCACACTTTCTATTCTAATATTATTACTAATAGATATTTTATTTGCAATAAAGCAGACTATGAACTATATTAGATATCATATTTTAATACAATTCTTCTCTCTCAAATTATCTAATAATTAATTACATAACTACTAAACTCAACTAACTTAGAAATTTCAGAATATTAACTCAATACTCTCAACAACCTTATAACAAATTACTATTCACTACAATTATCTATCTATCTCTACAACTTTATCTCTTTACTTTCTACTTTTAAAAAACTAATATTATATCTACTAATTAATACTATTGTTATAGATAGTATAGCCTTCTTAGTATACTATAAGTAATAGTGATACAGCTATCTAATTAATTTAAGAAGTGGTATCCAAAAGGGAAGTTTCTTTTACTAATTGTACAGACAAGTTCTACTCTATAAGAGGCAGTTCATTTAGATTTATTTAATAACAATATATTTATTAATTATAAATATTTAAAGTCAAGTATAAGAGAGAAAGAAAAGTTGAGGTTTAAACAACTAAAGAGCAAGAGGGAGAATTCTACTTGTATTTATAACTTTTAGCAAGTATTATATTAGCATTAGCAAAGTATTATATATGTAACTTGTACAAGTATTACTTAAGCATTCATACAAGTAATAGTTAAGTATTACTATTAATAGTTTAGTATAGTAAGAGGCACAGTACTCAGCATAGTTCAGCACAGTTTAGCATAGTCTTTCAACATAGTTTAGCACAGTATTAGTACAGTATTTAGCACAGTTTTGGTGCAGTTCCTAGCAAAGTATTCAGCATAGTTCAGCATAGTGTTTAGCATAGTTTAGCATAGTTTTAGCATAGTATTTTCTTACTATAGTCTATATATTCTTTAGATGTTACATAATAACTTTAGATATAACTTATATTATTATATAGCTAATATTCTTAGCTACAAAGTTACTTAAGGATATTTTTTATTATGAATGCTTCTTGAGAGGCTTCACTTAGAGGTAAATATTTATAATAATTTTCTTTACTCTAAAATATCTATACTAAAATAATACAATATAAGAAATAACTAAATACTAATAAATATAACTAATAATATAATTAAAATATAATAATAATATAATAAAAATAACTAAAAATCTATCCTATAACACTATTAAACCTTTTGTTTATACTTCACAAATAATATCACAAATCACAATTAAACTACTTTTCAAACTCAACTTACAAATATATAAACTAATCTGAAAATCATACTGTACTCAGTTTGCTCAATAGAAAATAGCAAACAATATTCAAATTCCATACCTTCAAACTTCTAAGCTTAGAAAAAATAGAACAACAAACTTACAAATATACCAACCTACATCTATATATAGTTGTATTAGTAAACTTGCTGACCAACAACTAATATTCTCCTTAAGGTTTGACAATTAAGAAGATAGCTGAATAAGAAGCTTACTAAGTAAATATGACTACTTAACTAATTCAATTCTATCTAACCCAATCTAGGTAAGTATTGACTACTCTAGTAGGTTTAGGTCACAGATTACTGTAGTTATAGCTAGCTTTAATATAGTTAATATTATAGCTATCTGAGTTGTAATTCTTGCATGTAATATATAACCAAGTAGTTCACTGTTAACTCTTAACTATATAATTATTAATAAAGATAAAAACAAGACCTCACCTTGACCATAAAGTCAAAATCATAAAAAAAAAAAAAACATATAAGCTAGATAATATGTATAGTAATAAGTGAAAAAAAATATAGTATGTGTGAATTATCTAGTCGTATCAAGACTGTGCTACTATCTACTGCTACTATTTAAGTTATAATTTAAAAATTATAAATTATGACGATTAATGTGAAGATATATTCAAAATTTTGTTAGATATTAATTTCATAAGCATAAATATTTCTTTTTCCATAGTGCAAATAATGACCAAAAGCTGTTAATCATGTACTAACTGTTGTAATTAAACAAGCTAAACGAGACACTACATATATGCTTTAAGATAATGGTGTTAACGAATTCTGGGTTGGAAATAATACAAAACAGAAGGATTCGATAATCAACCTGTATAGTTACGTAATCAATTTTGTCCAATCAGCAATAGGAAGATCATCACCCAATCAGACGATGGGGGTAAATTAGTAAAATTGAGTTCTATACGGTTTTCCGAGCGTAAAGTTCATTTCGAGATAATTGATTTTTTGTAACGATTATTTTTTTGTCAATTTGGTTCCATTTCCCAGCACCAAGCCCATTTATTAGTTAAAAAAGTTTCAAATACTTGAATTTATAATTAATAAAAGCTTTATTCATATATAATATTCAACGGATTAATTAAAGCATAGATAAGTGTATAAATTACAGTATAATACAATTCTGAAAGTAATATTGTCTTAAATCATAAATAATAGTATAAATTCCGAACAAATATTTCTTATAAGAATTTCATTAGTAATTAATTCTTTCCCTATTACAGACTTCAATCGCTTTTAAATGGTTAAGTTTAGCCGCCTCTATTAACCATTTCGTCCCCTCATTTTTTTCGTTATCGCTTTCACTAAGCCTCAACATAACACCCAAATTATACATAGCAGTAATATTGTTATTTTTTGCAGCTAACCTAAAATATCGTATTGCCTCCTTTTTATCATTATTAACACCAGTTCCGTTATAAAGGCCAAAACCGTATTTAAGCTGAGCTTCTGGATAGCCAGAGTCAGCGGATTGCTTGTATAATTTCATTGCGGCCTGTACATAATTGTCTGTTCCATCAGCAAATTCATCAACAACTTCTTCATAAAATTTTCTTCTGTAAGTTTTAAACGCCATAAGAACGTCATGCTGTAGGTAATATCCAATCCAAAATTTTGCAATATGGTTTCCATCTCTAGCATGATTAACAAATGTATTCCATGCCTCAAGCGTGTTATCATTTTTACTGAATTGATTTATTGCGTCTTCTAAAGACATCCGAGATGGTATTTTATAAAGATCTGAATAGTCAGGTTCAACATTTTCCAATTTGGGATCGAGTTTATTGCCAAATACTGACCATGAAAGTGTTGGTGATTCATCATCCTCATTATCCATTTTTACATTCGGATAAATAACACACCATCTAATAACAGAGGTTTCTTGAGTAGCCTGATCAATTTGATCTAATTTGAAGTTATCCATTTCATTATCTGAGCTTCCATCATCAAAACCATCATTTATTTGCTGTGAATCAACCATAATTTGGCCCTTTATTAATTCTAACGTAATTTTAGTTTTCGTCCAAGATGTAATGTTTATATTATAAAGGCTAGTATCGTTTTTAATTGATGTTATCAGAACGCAATCTGAAGAGAAGTTTTTACCCCTTAAAGTTACAGATTGTGATTTACTAATGTTAACGTCTCCATAAATGACTTTAACATTTCGATTTTTATTACTATAATATCCTTTCGGATTAGCAAGCACGAACCAGAGAAGTTTCGTATCTGCTTTGTTTAAGCTTTTAATAAAAATTATGTTAGATAACTAATAAAATCATTATCTGTTATGTTAAAAAATATAAGATATATACCGTATATCGCAATTTTCGGCTTTATGTATATACGCAACACATCCATCCTTATTTAAATAATCAAATTGAACTGGCAATTGAGAAATTTTTACCTCACTACCATCTTTGTTTCTTTTTATAATGGTTCCAAAAATGTAATAATTATCATCAATAAGTGAACCAGGAAATTTAATTATTATTGCGTCCTGTTTATCTTGCTGCAAAATCTCTTCTCCATTAAAAGCAATTTGATATGTATTGAACATATCGTCTATATTAAAGCGGATTTTCTTCAAAATCTTATACAATGGCGTCCAATCTTCAGAGGCAATGACCTTCAAATCGCTATATTTATTCAAGAGATTTTTAATCCAATTATCAATATCATTGCGATAAACTAAATTACTATTATTACTAAGGAAATATGAGGTATCTATATTATCAAACTCTTTATTCCATTCTGCTAATTTTTTTATAATTTTTTGAGGTGTATTAGCGTCATTTATATCATACTCAAATCTTTGTGGCAATATTGTACTTGTACAAGATTTATACGTTTTCGATAAAATTCCACCTAAAGTGAAAGTTCTTGGTAATAGATGTCCGTAGTCATTTCCAAATAACATGCATAAATTTTTGTATGGTTCATTATTTTGAAGTGCGTTATTAACAGTATTTGAAAATTCTTCTAAAGACTTGATATCTGCAAGATTAAAAGAGATCTTTGCTACTCTCACAATTATTTGGCAATAAATTGCCTTTGAAGGTTGATCCTTAGCATATTTGAAATTCTCTAAAGGATAACTAAGTATTGGACTATATTCAGCGAAGGGGATTTCAAGTTCTAATCCGAATCCATCATCTTTTTTTAAATTAATACCATTCTCCAAGCAATAAGCATCTTGAAGAGTTTGTGGTTGTGTTAATAAAAGTGTGATTTTATTTATTTCGATTATTTTGGGCTCCTTTAAAAATTTAAAGGCTGGTCGTTTACCATGCTTCAAATTTAGACGTTGTAAGATTATACCATATTGCAATTCATTATTATAAACCCAATCGCTAAGATGTATGTTAAGCGGAGGATTTGATATTATCCACTTTAAAATATCTCGCTCTTCATATTGAGATGAAATATTCGGAATTAATTTTCTGCAAGGTGCTTCAGAAGGTTTAGAACCAATAACTTGGAATAATTGTTTTCGCAAATCACTTTGCAATAATTCATATGATGGAATAATTTCTTCATAAGATATAAGTTCAGCGAACTTTGAACTATATAAACTTTTAAACCAATTACATAGATCACCGAAAGTTTCTATTGGAACCGAAGCCTCTAGTTTAGGTAATTTATCAAGTGGAACATCTTCAAAGATTTCTGTAGTCCTCCCCTTTCCATAATCAATCGCCCATTGGATATATGTCTTTAAATACGATTTGCTTTCAGCAGAGACTGTTGACCAATTTCTAATTGTAATAACACCACCAAGAGTAGCCCTTTTTACAACAAAATTACCATAATGATTGAAACGTTCTTCTAATGCTTTTCGCCTCTTGTTTTCATTTGAAATGTTAAGAGCTATTTTAATATCTTGAATAAATTTGTCGGTTGCATCATTTGTGTATTGTACAGTTGAAATTGGAACATGGATTCGTACATCGTCATATTTAGGTCCCATTTTATTTTTACTTCTAATTTCGAACAAACTTGAATTGTTTAAGTCCATCCAATGTGAGCTTTTATCTAGTGGAAGATAAATCACTGGACAACTCGAAAATGTTCTACAAATCTTTGGATCACTGTTATCACGTAAAATAATCCCTTCAGAGAGATTGAAATCAAGTCCATTAAGATTTCTACCTCGATTTAAGCCAAAATGACTAATAAATTTAACTTTCATCATGTTTTTCATTAACAAGTCATCATAATCTAACTCGCATCCAAAATTGGGATTGATTGTTTTAAACTCGGATATTCGAGATTCGGTAGAATTTTCAATTTTAATTTCATTATAGCATTCAGAAAGCGGTATATTTTTTAATTTTTCGATAATTTGGGAACAATCAGGTCGGGAGCCTAGTAAAATCAATTATTGTCCATTAATAAATGCGGAATCATGGATCAACATGTGATATTAAAAATTATTATCCTGAAGCTAACTAAATTTGGTGTCTAATTTCTCCGACAACTAATTGCCGGAGAAATAATTTTGTACTACATCTTTAAATTTTTTGCATAATTCAAAATATCAAGAAATAAAAATATACTTAACCAGGGTCATCATCCCAACATTCCCTGTAAAGTTCAACAAATTTAAATGGCGTTCCCTTTACGGGTAATTCTCGAACACCCTTAAGAATTTTAATTGCTAATTCAACAGCATTACTTTGGTGAAAAGGCTCAATACCATCATTAGAAATTTCCCACATTAAAACACCTAGGCTATAAATGTTTAACATTTTTTCGTCGTTAACTACATGTGATAATAAAATTTCAGGTGGGCTATATTTAGAAAACGAAAAGTCATCAGGTGCACGGTCGTAAAGCATTCCAATATTGGTTAATTTAGGAATATCGTTTTGCATAACGATATTTTTTGCGTGCTAAAGATTTATTATAAGTCAATTTTGTAATATTTCGAATAACAACAATCAAATAAGATAATTAAATGTTTTTACCAGTTCTGAGTGAATTATGTCATTATCATGAAGATACTTTAAGCCATTAACCACTCCTTTGGTTAGCACGATTCTATCCCGCCATGTAAGAGGAGTAGCACTCGAACTTTTTTTTTTGAGATAAGTGCGCAAATCCATAGTTGAGAATTCACGCACAAAATAATAATAATCTTCATCTAATGCAGCATAAAATGTTAACTATGGGTTACATGGATCTAAAATTAATGACTTAAATGATTAACTAACCAAAAGTAATTCCATAAACCCTCAACACATTATCGTGTTCAAACAGTTTGAGCTAAATAAAAAATGTATTGGTGAATTTCTATTTGAATACAGTATTGAAAGAGATTTTTTTATTACATACTTCGACCATCAGCCTTGTAACGCTATCATTGGAGATTTCAAAATTATTCAATATACTTAAATTTACTAGCTTATCCCTCCACAATTTTTTGATATAAAGCGTATTTTCATTTTTACGTTTTGGTTCATTTGGTGGTTCTCTGAACTCATACTTTATTAAATCAATTGTATCTTCACTAATTAGTCTTTTAACGAACTGATTAATTGTAAGAGACATAACGCAGATTAATCAACTACAGTTTCTTTAAAATTGAAAACTTGAAAGAGGTGAGCCAAGTATGAAATGTATGCGATAGCACTAGTATTAATGACTTAAAAAAAAACAATAAAGTACATCAATTTAACGCATTTTATTAATGTGATATTTTCGAATTGAACATCAATTTTTTGAATTAACAATCTCTTTTTATGTTAGAAATCGCAAAAGGAAATATTAAAAAAGAGAGTTGTCACATTTTATATAAAGAAAAATAGATTTTGCGATCGACATGCGCAACAAATATTAGCCCACATGCAATTCTAAAAAGGTTAAATTAAAATTTACAATTTACGGAGAAATAGTGAATTGGTCCGAAATTTTATGATTTGATTTGTTTAACTATTAGGTTACAATAAAGTTTATTAATTAAATTAATTAGGCCATGCAAAGTCGATTTTTCGTTTTGCATTACCTGCCCAGATTTTCCAATTACGCCAAATGAAATGTTACATTCTTTTATCCGGTTTAGCCCGATGGTGACCTTAGATTTCCGGAATTACCCGACAGAGCAACAAGGGGAAACCGGACTAAAACACGTTGACAACAAATAAAATTGTAAGTTCAAGGTCTGGTTTTCCTTTGGCGACATTTATATCTGATATTGAAAAAAAATTAAATAAATCCGCTCACCGGAGATATTCCGATTTTTTTTAAATGATTTTTTACGCCTTGGTAGGGATGGCAGAAAAATGATTTTTATTGATTTAAATCAGGTGATGTTTATGATTTAAATATGTTTAAACATCGCATACAAATATTTAGATTATAAACATCACCTGATTTAAATCAATAAAAATCATTTTTCTGCCATCCCTACGCCTTGGTATTGTCACACAAAAGTAGAATTTTACAAAATTTATTAATTCGCAGCTACGTGAGGTTGTAATACAAACAAAGTAGAACTATTAGCCTAGTGCTTCGCAAAATCAAATTTGAAAATGGATTAAAAAATTTAAAGATCAAATATCAAATCAAATTTTGAATTTTGTTTTGCGGAGCACTTAGGAATGGGCACATGCACAGGCTGCGCATTAAAACATTGCGCAGGATTTTTGAGAGCTGCCAGGGCTGTTAATAAGTTTTCATAATTCGAGCCAGCTTACATAATGTTTGCCAGCCTACTTAATTCAAGCTTTGTGCAGTCTGCGCATGATTTTGGAAATTTTGATGATTTGTTAAGAATCGACGTTAAACCAATTTTCACGTGTTTAGTGAATGCTGTAGAGGGCAGTTTGGAATCCGGTTTCGGAGACATGTCAGGACGATGGTTACGTAACCAATAACTACAACCTACCCCTAAACTAACTATAACCCTAATAGTGGAAGGCGTCGAAAGAGGGCGTGGAAGATTTGGTCCGGGTTTATCAGGGTCAAGGCCAGTTTATATAATCGGGGGTAATTATTAATAACGAATGTGGTATTGGAGTTATTATGCGAAGGGATTTATTGATTTTCTCAAACTTGAGATCTACTTCGACTGTTGTTTTTTTTATTAAAGGGAAAAAGGCAGCGCTTAGATGCATGATTTTTACCAATTCAGGATAACAGAAATAAAGAAAAATATAAGAAAAAGAGAAATCCGGGGATCCGGGCTAGTATTTCTAATCTTCGGCGGATCTGACAAATCCTAGAGATCTCGGTCGGGATTAGGGATGGCTTCGGTCAGGTCATGACCGGTCAATGACTGTAACCGATATTGACCGGTCAGAGAGGTTTAACCGACCGGTCAAAATTATGACCGATGCCAGATTTTAATTTTCTGACAAGTAAATAATAATTATTATTGCAACATGAAGTCATAAAATAATATCAAATAAATAGAGAAACCCATCGGTCATAATTCTGGTCAAACTTGCAGATCATTTGACTATATTTAACCAAATGATCTGCAAATTTGGCCGGAATTATTAACAATTAATAGATGGTTCTATTCTCTAGCGTAACTAATTTAAAAAATTTTACTAGTCACGTGTAACTAAGGCCACACAAACTTATATTTTTGGTTTTCATATCACTAACTGACCCGCCAACCTGTAATTTTCGCTGATTTTGATCAGATGATTGTTGAGATATCTTCGCTCAAAATTAGTAAATAATTCAAAAAGTCTTTAAAAAAGTAGCTGCGCCAATTTGTTTCTGAAACTTTGGGTGAAGATATCTCGACAACCATCCGATCAAATTTGATGAAATTTTTTTGTTTGGATTCTACAGATCTGTAGAATTCAAATAAAATTTTTTTATCAAATTTGTTAGGTGTAGGGATGGGCCACTGCGCAGAATTTTTGAGAGACTGCGCAGTGTAATTTTTATAACTCGGGCCGGCCAGCTTGCATAATGCGGGCTTTATATTTTTTTATATTTATATATAAGACTACAAGTAATAAATACAATTTTGAATATAAATAATTTTACTAGTATTTTTATGATAAGATATCTTAAAATATTTCCTATATACCTAGCTGACTATCAAAATTGTTACGCATTAAGTGAAAATTATGTCTGGGTTAATTTTGCATAGAGCAGGCCTAGATGGATAAAAAAAAGTTAATTCCGGCCGAAAATTACATAATTTATGTAACGTGAGCCAAAATTTTGTAGATCATAGCCGTTAGCCAATCAAAATCGAGAATCTGCCGTAAAGCGGCAGTTGAAAAAAATTTGATGATATGCGCAGGCTGCGCAGCCTGCGCAGAAAATTCCAAAAATTCGCGATTTGCCCATCCCTAGTTAGGTGGTTGTCGAGATATCTTCGCTCAAAATTAGTAACCAATTTAAAACGCCTATCAAAATAGAAGCTGCGCCAAATTTTTTTTAAACTTTGAGCAAAGATATTTCTACAACCACTCAATCAAATTTGATGAACATTCTTTTGTTTGAATTCTACAGATCATAGAATTCAAACAAAAAATTTTCTAGAATTTGATCGAGTGATTGTCGAGATATCTTCACTCAAAGTTTAAAAAATTTGGCGCAGCTTCTATTTCAATAGGCCACCTGACCAAATTTGATAAGTTTGAATTCTATAGACTGTAGATTTCAAACAAAAATTTTCATCAAATTTGATTAGATGGTCGTCGAGATATCTTCACTCAATGTTTCAAAACAAAATTGGCGCAGCTACTTTTTAAATTATTTACTAATTTTGAGTGAAGATATCTCAACAATCACCTGATCAAAATCTGCGAAAATTTTTTTATTCTGATGTTAGAAATGTTTATAATTAATTTTAAAAAAATTATTAAATTTAATAGGTAGCTATAAGGATGGGCAAATCGAGGATTTTTTGAAAATACTGCGCAGGCTGCGCAGCCTGCGTAGGCCTGCACAGCACACACGGGCCTGCATTATGGCTAATGCGGGCAAAAATTTCTAAATTTCGAAGGTCTACGGTATATTCCGCCTGCGCAGCGGCCCATCCCTAGGTAGCTATCAATAGTGATGGGCATACGCGGGATCCGCGTGTGATTTTTTGGATCCCGCGCGGGATTTTTAATATGATCCCCAATTCAGACCAGCCGGCCCGCATTAACATAATTTTGAAACCCAATATGTAATCCTATCCGCGTATCACGCGCGTAACCCGCACCCCGCGCGGGATATTTCGGAAAACTGCGATTTGCCCATCACTAGCTATCAATGATATCTTCGCTCTGATTAGTGATGTGCCGCGTACAGTACTATACGTACTGTACGCACGTACTGTACGTACTGTACGCGAAAATTTTTGCTGATCACTTCGAAGTGAATTCTCCAAACCAATCAGATCGCTAGAAACAACTATACGCACTATACGTACTGTACGTACTGTACGCGAAAAAAAATCGGGTATCATATAAATGGCACATCACTAGCTCTGATTCTTGAAAATTTTATAAATAAAAATTTTTTTATTTAAAAATTAAAATACAGGTTGGCGGGTCAGTTAGTGATATGAAAACCAAAAATATAAGTTTGTGTGGCCTTAGTTACACGTGACTAGTA